CAGGTAGCTGCGTAAAGAAAACCAAATGTTTATGCAATGTTTTTCAAGGGGACCGGGTTTACATCAGGATTTAATCTCAGCCGGGTAGAAAAGCCGTCCAGACGCAGATCATATGCTCATGCTGGGTGTAAACGAGCTTCACAAACGTAGGATTCAGTCAGACTGTCGAACTGTGTTTCTTACTGATGACTGATGTGACTCATTTTAAAAAGTGGATGGATCTCTCATCTTGGTAAATATTTCAGGACGTTGTTGTTGGATGCTTTCCATGTCTCAGCAAGACCAATCCTGTGATGAATACCTTGATACTTAGTAAGCCATTAGTGTGTCTGTATGAGCCTCAGCAGATTACATCCTGCTGCATTTCTGGTTCGCTGTGCTGCAGTGGCAGGTGTGGAGATGGCAGGGCTCAGAGCAGAGGGAAGTACTGTAAAGTTTAACCGTATATGCAGCATAGTTTCACCCATGCAGCTAAATCCTAATATACAACGTCCCTTAAAGTCCCTTTTAGTCATTAAAAGTGTAAACTTTACTTTGTAATCTGGTCCAAGGACTGATCGCTGTGGTCAAGACCACACAGGTTGTTTCTCCTGATTCTACTGAGTGGATGGACAGGAGCTGGAAGGCTCTGACAGGCCTCAGAGTGGTTTGGATTATTTGCGCTATGGATCCATGTGGAACCGGGGCTATAGTGGCAGCCAGTGCGTTCCCATGCTGCTCAAGGAGAAGACATTGTGTAAGACATTCCTCTACCACACAACCAGCGCTGCAGCCCAGACATCATTACCAATGTGTGTTTTCTTTCAAAATACCTCCAGTCTCCAGAGTAAAACACCGTGCTACGATAAGATCTACAAATCCTCCATTAGGTAGAACGCAGGCCTGAGACGACGACGGAGTGAAGCACGCTCCAACAGTCGGATGTTCAGACTTTTGTTGACATGTGGGCTCAGAAATCCAGTTCATCTGCTGAGAAATAAGGGCACTAATGAGATATCTGATATATTTCCACCTGCTCTGTCTGTTAGTGTTTAAAGGCCACACGTCTGATATTTTCCTCCTCGTATGATTTCTGTTCTCCTCTGATTGTTTGTGTTTGATATGTTCAAGAAATTCAAAGTCTATTAAAAGCAAAAGCTGTCCCTGATTTGAATTCGATGTGGGCACTTTGTGCAGCGAAACACCAAAACAACGCACTTGGAACGTTACCTGAATGCATCACTGGATCTTCTCAGCTAAGTCAAAGCAGCTACATTTAAGTTTGTTATAAATTGTGCCCACTGACGCTCAGAAATCTGCTGCCACTCTGTCATGCACTGAAAAGAGCAGAACGTCGTCAGGATTCAAGTCTGTGCTCATTCAGTCTGAGCACTGAAATGCAACGTGACGTCTTCAAGGCCGTGCAGGAACAATAAGACATTATCTAAGGACATTTATTCCATCCGCACTGTCTTTCAACTGAGGAAGGAGTCGTGTGCAGTTTACTCAGCAGAGGTTAATCATTTACAACTTTTGGCCAATCAGAGTGCCTCTACAGCAAACAGAGCCTTCGTTCACATATTTACAGGTCCCACGGTGGAACGACTGATATCAAAGCAGACGTGTTCAGGATGAATCCATCAGCAAAAAAACAAACCTCACCACCTCCAGAGAACACATTCAGTAAAGACTAATACTGTTGATGTAAACCTACAGAACATATAACGTATGATTTCTATCCTAAAGACTAATTAGTCCCACTTGGTAGCTTCGTTTTTTGATTTATTTGGTCACTTCTCCCCAGGCTCACCTTCAAAAATGGCTTCAATCCAGGGGCAGGAAGTTAGGCAGAGAGGTGACACACTGAGGCAGGTTTTCACTTCAGCCATGACAAAAGAAGACCACACTGTCAGTTAACATCAGCCAGCAGGACTTCTGTTATTCTGGTGAACTAAGATTTGTTTGCACAGTTTGAGCATCGACAGTCTGAAATGTTCACTCACTCACATGCCTGTTATTTTAGAGGCATCTTTGCAAAACCTTTTGCTGCTGCTGTAGAGCAGAGAACACACACATGGATAGTCCACAAGAGCTGAAGGCAACTTTAGATCTGCAACAAAAACGTTCACACAACTGTCTTTTGTAGTAAGTATGACAATAGTTTTGTTTGTTAAGGTGCTTGGACAGAAAGTACGTGACCAAATAAATAAAACTAGATCATGTCTGAAATGGATGACCTTAAAGAAATGTGTTCTCATAAATTGTGTAATGTCCTTTAATGATATTAAAGTTCATTTTTTATCAGCCTGAACATCATCATATGAAAAAGCGCTGCAGGAAGATAGATTTGTTCTTCCTTATTTTACACGTTAGACTTTACCTTCAAGCTCTCACTAACCACAGAGCAAACAGCAGACACATGAAAGCTTTGCTACGTTTTGCTCATCGCTGCAAATGATCCAGTGTTAGAGGCCTGGAAACAGCTAATAAGGTCTGTCAAGACAACTTTACCTGATTCCTAAAAGTAGATCTGACAAAGAGCCCCATAGTTTTACAAGCTGACAGGCAGGACAGAAATGCATGTTGTGCCGTGGGCCATTTGTTGTTGTTGTAGCAGCACAGCTAGCTTTGGGGCAAACTGGTAACAAGACTGAGTGGATCCGTGTTGTGCTGCTGTGGAGAACTTTGAAGAGCAACACGTAGGTCTGTTTGATAACAGCGGCAGCGATACAAGTTCAGACCAGACGGAGCCTGAGACTTGACAGTATGACCTACTTTACATGCAACACAGTCACAAAAATGTTTTGCATTGCAATAGAAATGTTTCACATACTGGGGCTGCAAACACCGTCCAACCCGCAACGCTTTGGTTCTGGAGCTTCTGTGTGGACCATGATTCATGGCCTCTTACTGATCCCTGCTTCTAAACTCAATGTATGTGAGAGTTGCTAGAGGACACTTGAACAGGGGATAAATAAAAACAGCTACTGCATACTGACCTGGTGTCCATCCAGGTACGAGTCGAAGTCGGTCTAATACTCCAGAAAACACAACAAGGTGGTGATGAAGAAAACCTCCACCTGCAGGATAGTGAAGAGTTATTGTCGTGTATTTTCAATTCTTTAGGGACTTGGGAACCCAATGCAAGACCCCATATGACCTTCACAGCCAATCAGATGAAAAGATGGGATTTGTTCTTGCTGGTTCCCTACAACCAGACCACAGCGGCTGGTGCAGGCTGACATTGTTGACTTCAGGCAACTGGAGGAAGCTGCCATCACTTCAGCTCAACCACGAAGGTTTGTGAGATATCCTGAAGAAGCTACTGCTGGATTTTGGTTTGGCCCTCATGGAAGAATCTTGCAGAAGCTACTTTCGATGACATGGCCTCAATGGAAAAATCAGTGAACATGAACATTATGTCACAAAGTTCACTGCATGCCACAGCCAGGCCTCTCCAGTGGATTCAACTTAGAGAACTGGTAGCATCTGATATTCATGATAAATGGTTGGAGGCGTTCATAGTAAGATCTACCACAGTGGGGCAAACCGCTGAGAAATACTTTCCTCAACGACAAGGGAGCAATAACAGACCGCAATGTATTTCACAGGAATTTAAAGGGATCGAACTGAATGTGGCAGATTTGAAATGTGTCCAGAGGGTAATTTACTGTGAGCTTTCCAGGGACAAGGCTTCCTGCTGTCCTACTGAAACGTCCCACACTCAATCATAGGTCTGGTAAAGCCACCCAAGCCTGAAGAGATCGTTCTGTAAAAGCAGCAAAGCACAGCCGAAGAGCAGAGGAGAGGATTTTGTACTCTGCTGATCATTGTACTGGCAAATAGCACACTGACCAGCTGCTATCAGGACCTACAGCACCTGTGGAAACTCCACTGGTCATCTGTGCTAACCCGGTGGAGCAGCTCAGTCCATCCCAACCAAAACGTCCCAGAATGCTCCAAATGCCATGGAACCTCAGGTCTGTTAAACTGTCACCTGTCCACACACTGACATCTGTTCATAGCTGTGAGAGGGACACACATTGTTGGCTGTGAGAGGGACACACATTGTTGGCTGTACTTGGAAGTGAGCCGACTGGTTTGCACCGACTCTGTGAACTTGGGAAGACGAAGAAATTTATGTCACGCAGACCCTCGTGTAACAACATCAGTACAAGGCTTCATTATGTGGACCCAGTGGATGTGTCATCCATTTGCAGGACTCCACACATGTGCAATAAGTCATATTTAATTACTTTGTGCATGACAAGCACCTGGTGGTTGGCGTGTAGCGCTGCTCACTGCACAGACTGTCAGCGTGGACATAAAGTATGACCCTGGCCTAAAAGGACACAATGCATGACTGCACCCCTGCAGAGAACCTGACCCTTCCCTGATAGAACTACTGTTAAACCACCTGCTAACAAGCAATGAAGAAGCAGAAGGAGCACGCCTTCAAAATAAAAGTATGTTATATAAATAGAATAAAATGCAACGATGTAAAGTTTATTTCCTACAGAGATGAACACAGGTTTCATACGTAAATACACACAAAAAAGAGAAAAGTAGTCAATTCTTATGTGTACATTTTCATGTCAGGTCTTTTCTTGGATGTTTGTGGCACAAACTAACCCATAAATAGCTTTTAAATAATTTTACTGGTACGAGGAAATGTTTAAAAATGGTTTCAGGATGTAAATGTATAAACAGAATATTTATTTTGACTGTACAGAATAACTCCAAGGCTGAAATGTCTTAAGACATATCTAAACTTATTATTATTATTATTGTTATTATTATTATTATTATTATTATTATTATTATTATTATTATTATTATTATTATTATTATTATTATTATTATTGTACTGATAAATTATCCATTAGTGGGACAACTCTTTCTCCACAGACTGCTCAGACATTCAGCAGGTTCAGGTGTCTCTAGCATTCTGGGGGTGTTTTATTTTGAAAAGCAGCATGTGGCTGCCTGGGAGCTCATAATAAAGCAGAGGTGTCTCCGATGTTCAGTCGACGGTCTGACTGCAAACAAGAAGCATCGCAGGTTCAGAGGGAGTGTCAGCTTCTGTCAGGACTCTGAGTAACTTTGTTCTGGACTCGTTTTTTTCTTTTCTTTTTCTTTTTGTGGACGTTTTAATCCTCCTCCTCCACATTTCTACATTTATTGTCTTTTTAAATGTTTGATAAATTTTTTTCTTATTACATTTTTCACATTGATTTCTCATGTGTGATGGCTAATGTGTCATCGGTTGATGTGGGAGTTTTGTTTCTGATCGTGGTGGCAGCATCTCTGGCCAACGGTGAGTCCTGGCTGCTCTTCATTTACTTAATGCTTTTATTTGTATCTTCATTTGTGCCTGAACACACATGCAATTAACTTCTTTTTATCAGTTAGTGAACTGGCTGCAGGAAAGATCTGCAGTTTAGATTGGTGTGCATGTAGGGAACAAACACAGCATTAAACCAACATTACAGTTAAAGTTATGTACAGTTAGCTGTTAGAATTAGGTCTGCATTCATGTAGCTGTGTGTTTAAATTAGAATTAATTATAAAATCCAGAACATTTTAAAGCAATACCACAAGTAACCCTTTTCCAGTCATGTAAAAAAAAACAGTCTGTTTGTGGTGTCTTTAATGATTAGATCACTTATTTGGAGTGTGATCAGACGATTTGGTGGCAGTGAACTAACGAGTTAATCAGGTTCAGATTGTACTTGCCACTGTTGACGAGAGTCCCAGAGGTAGGATTACTTCCAATAATATCTTTATGTCTCCTATGCAATCATTTGCATTATTCAATACCGCTGTAATAAGTGCTTGGCAGTGACTTTGGTTCTCCTGTTCCTCCACAGCAGCTCCACCAATACGCCAGACAAATATGTTTTATAGCACGGCCGGCTAAATTAAGCGGTTTCACAGACACACTGTACAGCCCCCTGTGGATTTACATTCACTAATGCTATTTCAGAAAGAGCTCTCAGATTGCTGTGATCCTGAAGGTTCTCCATCCATCAATATAATGTACAGAGGCTATTATAAGAATACCGTAGAAGGTAAAAAACAACCACCGTGGAGTACAGTGCGGTCACATGAACTCAGAGTAAACAGGACACACTTTACAGCGTGTCCCTGCTGGAATGTCAAGATGAGCAAATTTGCATTCCGTACAGCTATTTAGGAGAGAGGATGTGAAAAATGAAGCTCTCAAATTGCTGTGATCTTGCAGGTTCATCATCCACCAAAGATGTGAGCCAGAGGAGGGAGATGGAAGTGGTCAAGCTGAGCGAGAAGCCGCTGCCCGGCGGTGAGGACGACCTCGGTGCCGGCCCAGCTGATTCCCAAGGCGGCGAGGTGAAGCCCTGCTCTGCCTGCGACCCACCGACGGCCAAGAAACGCTCCAAGAGGTGCACGTGTTACACCTACAAAGACAAGGAGTGTGTGTATTACTGCCACCTGGACATCATCTGGATCAACACACCAGAGTAAGAGTCCTTCTCCGAAACAGTTTCTTTCATGAGTCACTGAGTGTCTATTTGTGTTTTTATTAACAGTGTTCCTGTATTACTCACATACATGCATCAGCTTGTACAGTGTCACCTATTTTGTCACAAGTCTTTCCTCAGCTGAGCGTTGCTTCTGCTACAGGAGGCGCAAACACGTGAGCTGTGTGAAACACAGGAATCCACTTCATTTTTTCTTTAGATTTTGGGTTGACCTGACCTGTGAAACAAACCAGGCTTTCTCTCTCTCTTGTGCTTTCTTGTGACTTTGTGAACTGTGAGAAGTGCATGTAATCCGAAGAGGTCTAGACTCTGAGCTCTCAGGTATTTTAATTCCCCCGAGGATTTGTGACAGACAGCAGGGGAGCGGCCGGTCCACCTCTTCACCAGTACAGATGTTCTGATGGTTCTTAAGGAGCCTCAGAATCTGAGATGGAAATTTTACACAATTTGTTCTTTCGTCTCAAGAAGTTCTTGCTCAGAGAGAAAACTTTGAATTTGTTGTGTTTCTCTCTGTAATATAATATTCCCAGATCTTCACTTTACTGTCCAAAGAGTCCTGAGATGGTTTATGTTGTGAACTGCTGTATAAATAGAACTGAACTAAAAACTTAAACTTGTAAAAGTTTAACCCGCAGTCTGATAAAAGCGACGGTTCTTTGCTCTGTTACACCAAAACCAACACCCTCAGGTGGCTCTGACTGTTTTTCTTCATCTGTGATTCACTCATTCAGCACTCTTGTCCATATTCCTGTAGTTGCTTTTATTTCATATCAGCTTCACGATCTGCCGACCTCAAAATGAAACACTTGATTCGCCACATGTGATGTCCCTTTGAACTCTGCGATCTTTGGCATGCGAGACACTAAAACAGAAAGCTAATCATCTGCACTGGGAGACACCATCTGAAGCCCAACTGCAGATTAGAAGGCAGATTTATTCACCCTTTGTTGACTCCAAACAACAGGCCTCAGGGCAGCTCTGGTTTAATTTGGTTCTGAAAGAGTGTGTCAACACACCTTTCAGTCAGCCTCAGTTTAGAAAAAATGTGTGTGGGAGAGCTGGGAGTGGAAAGATGTGATGATATGGAGCCACTCGTCTATCAGATCTCTGCTCCAGTGCTGTTGGCCTGCAGAGTGCAGTACGACAACTGTTTCCTCCTCTGCTCCGACTGGGACATGCAGCATCCGTTGGGAAAACAATGAAATTAAGTGCAGGGTGTGCATTCCTCACTAGTTGAAGTCAGTTAAACATGCGCTTAAAAACATTTATCTAACCAACAGTGAACATCTGCAGTGAGATCAAAATGCTGCATGTTGGTCCGGTAACGCCACACAGATGAAGCTGCATCTTCTAGTCGTCCTTCGGGCACCCAGAGGGTTTTTCATTCATGTGGAGTTACCAGAAACTCTTTCATCTGTAAATGCATTGCAGAGATTAATTGTGAAAAGTTACAAGAGGTTGAAAGAAACTCCTGCTTAGACTTGAAATTGTTTTTGTTTTTTTTCCATTTTAGTAATTAGAAAACCTGCTTGTCAGCACAGAAGGGCTTCAGCCACCATCTGAGCTGCGCTGTGAAGCTCCTTCTTGTGCTACACTTGTCCCGCTTCAGCTCGTTTTCTCCTGAAGCACAAATCCACGGCAGTTAATCTTTGGGGTAGTGATGGCCAGCTGTGGTTTTATGTGAATGCCCAGAGGATGCAAATGCATGGTCTGATGGATCAAATGCTCACATGCTGAGTGTGAAACGCACACCATGTAGGAACAAAACAATCCTTCGTTTGACACATTTCAGGCAGGATTTCCTGATGTGTGTATTGTGCATATTGCAGGCATGCTTTCAGAGGAGAGCTTTATGGGCAACTGGTGACTTCACATCTTTAGCTGTGACTGATGTGATTGTGGGCAAATGAACAGAATTTGTTGGAGCTCACCTAAAGGAATGGATTTAGGGTTCGCACTCCAGATATGCAGATGGTGGAAACAGATGCTGTCAGTGTGAAGTTGAAAGCATTCAGTCAGGAATGAAACCACAGCCTGATCCTCTGCCAGACTAGTAGTTACTTGGGCCTGCTGTTTCCTCAGAGGGACTCCCTGGACTCGTTGGGTTTCTCTCTGTGAGTTCATCTTCACCTACGTTGTGAATTTAATGAAATTGAAGTGTTTGTGTATATATACGAGTGGTTTCTGTTTCTGGCTTCATCTGGCTTTTACATTGCAAACGAAAATCCTCCTGGACTGATCCAATCCGAGCCAAGTAACGGCAGTTAGACAGAAATGAACTGCAGTGGCTAACGCGGAAGAACAGATTTGAGATTTGAACACAGGAAGGGAAGCTGATGATCGAAACTGGACAAGGAAGCTGTTCCAACGTGTCAGAGGTGCCACTGAGAAATCCTGAAGAACCAGTGTTTGGATCTTGGAGAAACAACAAGTTTCCCATGCAGTGACCTTAGAAAGCAACCGGTCACAGTCAAACAACAACATTTGTAAATGACTCCTAGACTGAACAGGTGGCCGATGTCAGGATGTCAGGATAGGAGACGTTTGCTGTGACGTTTTGAACAAACTACAACCAGTACATTAGCCCCTACCCTCATTATTATAAATGAAATTGACAAAATAATAGAAAACACCAATCAGCATAATGCAGTACAATCCAGCAGCAGCACAAAGCGCATCCTCCAGAACGGTCGTATGAATCCTCTGTTAGACAGATGCAACACAAAGCTCATGAACTTACTGCAGGATCGATTTGCTTGATTTACTTCATAAACTGCCTCCTGAGTTCATCCGACGGTGGCCCGACAGCTGAGATGTTTACTGAGCTGCTGGTGCATTTTTCACATTGTGAGGTCTGATTTACTGTCATCAGTGTGGAGAACAGCTGGGCTTACTTTCAATGAGTGAGATGCTAACACACTGGGATCTGTATTGGAAGCTTTAAGGCGTTGTCAGGCCTCTTGCCGGCTGCCACTGTAGCTACCATGTTTATTCCCTCATACCACCGTGTAAAAGTCACGGAGGTTACTCATGCAAACATTATAATAGGATCCACACTGGGGTAAATCATAATCAGGAGACAGACAATACTGTATCAGTGTAGGTCTTTGACTCAGCAAGTTTGACACAAAACAGCTTACGATGATCTACGCCCGAAACTAAAAGTACTGTCATCGATGTCGCAAGGCATCGATTCCAGGCAGATCAGCTATGAATCAAGATGTTTGCTTCTGAGAAGACAGCTGTCAAAATCACACCACTGTGCTCCATTAAAACACTGAAATCTCCGCTGAGCGCCAGGAAAACAGAAGTTAGTGTCAGTTATATGACAGTAAACAGCAGTGGACGCTTGCCAGATGAACACACTTCCTGCAGTCCTGCTGTGAGATGAAAACGGACATCCTCTCCCTTATGGATGGTATAGAAGAAACCACCCTGTGCATACTGTAGACAAACAACAAGGGAAAAATAAACTTATCAAGTAAGATGCTATCCGGACATGGCCGTGTTCACACCAGCTGCTCTGCAGACACCGATACCAAAGACAGAGATGATTTGTGACTTGGATAATGTCAAGAGTCATGCAGAGCTATGAATAATCAAGTTATGTTCTACCCTGAATATGATTAAACCAGTTTGCATCTAAAGATACAAACTGACTCAGTGTTTTGTAGGCAGACTGTCTGTGCCTCAGGACATGTGGGAACAGAGCAGCAAACAATAGAATTAGGAGCAGCTTAGCCTCTTGCTGTGTCTGTTCATCACAGTGGAAGAGGTTAAGTTGTGTAGCATCGCGATCAGCGTTCGTCCTGAACGGTCCTCAACGCCACATGTTGCTGAAGAGAACCACTTATGCAGCTCAAAGGAAACAGCTGATACAACACGGGTTTCAGCAAAGTTCTCCGTTTAGCTTGTTCTGGGCAGCAGGTTGTAGACATACGACAACTGGAGGGCGTGATGAGGCCGCCACGTGCAGAGAGCAGCACGAAGCAGTAAAGACGAACTCTGGTTCAGGTCTTTCTGTTGTGGTTTGGGCCATTGTTCCACGATAATCAGTAAAATCTGGGAACCGCACGATACATTGATAAATTATAAGAAATTCCCAATTGTGAGCTTTTAAGTTCAGTAACTTGTTTGGAAAGAGAAGAATAAAATGAGCCATATATCTGTTACCCAGACTGTCTGCTGAACACGTGGGTTTGTTGTGCAACCAACATCTTTGCTGCTTTTACGTTTAGGTTTATGTCAGAATGCAGAATGTTTGTGCCACAGAGCAAAGAGGCCACATCTCTTCTGTAGTGAGTCTTCTCATAACAGATACAAACCATGAACCCAAGTTGTAATAAAGGGGAATTATCCTTTAAGCCGTTTCATTATGTGACTTCTAGTATTTCCTCCTGCACCTGCAGACACTGCAGAGGAACCCCATTGACTGATTATATCATTGTTATGAACACAGCCTCTAAATGCCTTTTGGTTTCCACATCCTGCGCAGAAGAGTGTGAGGAAAGAGATGTGTATAGACGAGGTGGAGCTTCTCAGATCCCACTGTGGCCTGCTGATGGGGACAGAGAGACTGTTTGTAGTTCAAATTATCCATAAGTATGTCAGACCCATGGAGCTCAGTGGTCTTATAGGTTTTAGCTGTTAATGGAAGTTTCTTCTGGTGAAAGTTTAAAAATAAAAAAGAATGCTGTCGGGTTTAAGAGCTTAATGACTTTTGTTGTACATATTTCCAGCCTAAATGTTAAAGAGACGTTCATTGTCAGATCGACTGATATGGGATTCAAATCATTAAAAACCTTTAAGATAATGTTGATCATCGTATTGAAAACGCTCCGCCTCGTCATTTGAATAGGAGCACTTTTACCAACAGCACATCTGTAATCAGTCCCACTGATGTTTACCTTATGATCAACTGGTCTGTATAGAGGTTAAATCTGATCACTGTAGAGGTGGACTGGACTGTGTGTTGGTCCTATATTCTGCCCCCATCATGTTTGCAAATGGTGGAAGTCGGAATACTACAAAACAGCCCTCAGTATGATTCAGTCCTGCACCCACAGCGTCTTTAGATGCTTCCCTCCGATCACTTACCCTTCTGCATTTACACGTCTACATGCGTGGCAGTGCCGCTGCGTTAGACGGTACAGGCTGTACCTAGTAATCAGGTGAACGTTCTGATCACTCACTGTACTACATGTGTGTGGGTCTTTTTTTAGGCACACTGTACCATATGGGATGTCCAGTTACCAGGGTTCCCTGCGTATGAGGCGCTCTGCTGGGACCAAACGGACGATGACAGGGATGGAGGCCCAGCGCTGTGTTTGCACGCTGCAGACCGACTCAGGCTGCAGCAGCTTCTGCATAAACAGGTAACTGTGCTGCAAGTATAGTATATGTCATTATGCAGTGTTTAGTATATGTCATACACACCGTGTTACAACAGTGAACCACAGTGCAGTACTTTTAAAAATGATTCCCATTGTTAAAACTTTGAATTCACCTGCGTTAGATCAGACTCTTAAACTACTGGCCTTTACAGCCGTCACAGAATGTCCTGCTGGGATTAATAGAGTCAGTCTAAGTCTATTGGTAGGTCGTCATAGCAACCATGCATATCTTTAGTGTTGCACTATCAGTTGAAAGACAGATTTTTAGATGTTTGCCTTTGTCACAATACACAACTGCTCCTGTTAGATCACACATAGAAAAACAGACTTACTTCACTCTGGTGCAACATCAAGGCTTCAGACTCATCTCATCTCATCTCATCTCATCTCATCTCATCTCATCTCATCTCATCTCATCTCATCTCATCTCATCTCATCTCATCTCATCTCATCTACAGAGAAAGCATGACATTAGTGTATTTTTTAAGCTAACAGTTTAAACTTTATGATCTTTCCACCTTCTGGTTTGTGATTCCTAACACATCAGTAAAAACTCTTGTTGGGAGTTCATACATAAGAGATAATTCATAACTCTGGCTAAATAATCAACAAGATGTGGTTTTAAGTGTTTGTGTATTTGTTGTCCCAGCAGACAGAGGGGTTCACCTCCAGAGGCGCCTAAAGCAAACAACAGGTCGGAGCCTCTTCATAATGGACCTGCTCCGAAATGAACATGTAAGAAGTGACGGATTGAGAGGTGGACGTAAACATGGCATCCTGCTTTTCTGGGAACAGCGTGTATGTCTGCATTTCTGACATGTTTTGTTCGTGTCCTCACATGAGACTAATGGATGAACACCCACAAAGCTGCTTGCACAAAAACTGAAATCGAGGGGTTCTGGTCGGGATGCTGATGGACTGTGTCCCCCTCGTCCCCTACGGCGCTCTCTGCCTGTGTCTGTTGGACAGGTGATGTTTTTCATCATCCCGTCACAACCGGGGATCTGTTACATGGCCGCTTTAGGTGGACCGTAAAAGACTTTTGATGGAGCGTGTGCGTTGCGTCATACATGTACGCGTCATGTGATGAGGAGGCCGCTTGGAGAGCCGCCGTCATCCAGCCCCGCCACCACAACGTCCACAGAAGAAACGCATCACATGGCTTTGGTTTCTCTACAGGGACAACATTTAATCTGCCCGTCAACACGCCGTCACAGTCAAGAACTCAGCATCACTATTTGTACAAACTTCGTCACAGCCACTGAAACATACAGGATGTCGTCATGGTTACATGCTTGTACCCCTTGTGACTGTTTGTAGTTGTTTAAAAAAAACGCATGACATGTTTTCATTTTATAATCGTTGTCTTATAAGCTGAATCCGCATCAAAGTCTTGTGTATACGAAATATGTGTCAGTATATGTAGGCTATAAATTATATTTTCATACAATACCTACAGTGTATGTACAATAAAGGTGTATGATAAGATGTTGTACATAAAAGTATATATAATATGTGATCATAATCAACAGTTTTATATAGTAAAGAATAGAAAAACTGTGTACCGTTGGATACATGTACTTATTGACTGTCTTTTCCTGATGGTTTAATCAGGAAGGATGCTGCCTACAGCGGCTAAAGCTGGTGATTTGTTGGTGGTTTCTCCAGAGACGCGCAGGACAAAAGGAGGACATGGATTCCTTGCTTCATGTTTGAAACGATGCACACGTGGCTTTATTTAAACATATTTAAAATGCATATTTTACCCATTGAATGTAGCTGGAAGAATATTAAAGAATCACAGTATTTTTTACACGCCAGACGGATCAATCATGTTCGGTACAGTGGGTTTAGAGACCTCCTTTCACATCTGGAGATACTGAATTAAGCTGGCTGTAGCCCATGTGTGTCCTGATTAAAACCAGTGTACACATCGTCCTATATTTCACAAGTGGATATGCAAACACGTGCAGGATCACACCAGCTCTCTGCAGCTGTGCATATATCTCTTTACTTGTGTCAGTACACGATGCAAAGATAAAACAATGCCTGCATTCAGGATGCCTCCTAGTCACATAATACCCCATGGTGTTCATATAAACTGTAGGGAGGATGTATTTAAAGGGATTACCAACCAACAGCAACCCATAGTGTTGGTTGAAGCCCTGTGTAGTGCAGGAAAAAAAAAAAGAGTTTCCATCTTATCACAATCCAGTAGTTAATATTTACTTTTTGTTCTAGACGACGTGGTGTGAAGCTGCTGTGGTCACATGTCAACACCTAATGTTTTACCATCATCCACTAAAGTACCAGTAAACACCAGCCACAATAATGAAGAAGTGACACTGATCTGTTGTAAACATTCGTACCTGCAACCCTGCTGAACCTTGTGCACCTGAAATGAAACAGAACACTAATAAATCCATTGTAGTCACAGCAGTACTGAGCGGTGTTCTCACTGAATGTGCATCCAAAAATGGGGACCGGCTATTTTAAAAACATATAGATCTGGTCCATCTACAGCAGGGGGGTCCAGTCCTGGTCCTGGAGGGCCACAGTCCTGCATGTTCTAGATGTTTCCATCACACCTGATTCAAATGATCAGCTCATCATCAAGCTCTGCAGAAGCCTGATAACCATCCTGATCATGTGAATCAGGAAACATCTACAACATGCAGGACTGTGGCCCTCCAGGACCAGGACTGGACACCCCTGGTCTACAGGGAGCTCCAGGGTGGAAAGGGTTAAAAATGAACCACTGTCAATGAACAAAGTGGTGCAGAACTGTCCGGTATCAATGTCTAGCTGCTGATCTAAGGTGTTGCGCAGCGCGGCAGAGGACCGAGTCTTGAACACAAACCAGACAGAAACACTCATTTTCTGCTCGACATCATTCTGGGACGGCTGCCAACAAAACCAGTTCAAGAATGTTCCTCATAAATTCTCAATGAGCCACTTTGCCCAGAAGTGGTAATGACAGAAAGGCTTGAGTAAGAATGATAAATGAAACCATTTTGCAACTGAGCCTACTGTTGTTTGTGACTGTTCCTGATATCTACAGATGACTATCTTAAAGCAAGTAATATGTGAAGACACCTGGGAAACGCTAGAGTCAGTCCAGGACAACGTCTAATCAAGCTGCTCATCCTTAAGCTTTTTCATTATCTTCTTATCTTCTAATACCACTTGGTATGAGTCTTGCTTTTGAAGATAATGACAGTGAGGAATGCACTGGGAAAACAGCAAAAACTCAGATTTAGTTCTTCAAAGGAAAACCGCAATAAAACCTTAATCATTTTTAAGTTCGGATTGTCTTTCCAAATCACATGTCCAAACTGTTACAGTACTGACAGTCAGCGCTTGATTGATCCGCCCTGGAGCGCCCTGTAACGGGACCAGCTTGTATCTGTTACTGCGCTAACATGCAACCTGCTGCCGTTTCCAGAAGGTTGCTGAGCCGGGCGCATTCAGCCAGAGGCCGTGTGGTACCACCAGAATTCATGGGTGTCATTTCTGTTGCATCAGTTACGCCAACGTTTCAATTTTGGCCTCTCGGTTGTTTTTTAAGGTGGAAATTTAAAAAAAAAAAGGAGTAAACAGGTAATGAATTGTTTTTGCTAGATCTCGTGTTTGCTCTTGTTAAGGCAGCCTTGATGTCTTAATCTTAAAGGTTTCTGTAGAAGGAAGAGCTTTTGCTTATCACAGTATGACAATCTGAGAAATGGGAATGAAGCTCCAGGATGAAGCGCTCTGCTGTCAGTGCTGTTGTTCTTGGTCTGAGAAACAGCTTTTGTCCTGACAAGCAGTGATGAGTGGACGAAGCTGCCGAGAGGTTTCTGCTGCACTCAGTCAAAGCTGTGTGGCAGAGAAGAGCTGCTATGTCTGTGCCGCTCAGTGGAGTTTGTGTTGTTTGTCGTACTTCTCTGAGCAACACAAAATGTCCCATCTGGACTGACTGTCATAGTGGATTTGACATGCTACGCTTTAATCCTGTCTCGTCCCGGCTGCCTTTTCCTCTGCGACTGTCAAGAGGTCAAATCAAGTTTCAACTGCTTTTGTTTGCACTCTGGCATCCAAAACAAAACAAAAAAGGAAAAACCATGTGAGCAGTAAAGTGCCAGACACTACGTAGAGCCTTTGGGAATACGTTCATGTCCAGATATGTAGTCACACCCAAGGGAAAGTAAATTATGAACCAAAGCCCAACATGTGCAGTCCTAGTTCACCAATCTACAATCACTAACTCACAAATACAACATGACAACATGTTCAAAATCTACTGGGAATCAAAAACTGAAAACAAAGTATTTAGCCAGCAGTCTTCAAAAACCACCCGGTGTCGTCTCAGCTGTCGGGTTCAGGTTGTTGTGGTGCCAGAAGGTCGCCTCAGCTACAGGTTTGTGTTCTCTACATCAGGGTTTCCTCCTTTGGGACCGGTGCCTATTGCTGAGAACACGTCCACAGCATGATGCTGCCACCGCCATGCTTCAGTGGGAATGGTTTGTGCAGGTGAGGAGCTCTGCTGGTGTTCTATGTCGCACTTGAGTTATATTTTTTCCTCATTAGACCAGAGCTCAGGCTCTAAAGAGTCCTTTAAAAAGGTTCTCTCAGAAAGGCTTCTGTTCAACACGACATCAAGGCCTGATGGACGGAGGCTGCTCACAGCCTTCTGAATCAGTTCTTAAGAGGTTTTTAAAAGCTTTAGAGAACAGACTTTTCTACACAACTGGTACGACAGTGGGCTGCAGGGTGGCCCAGTTGGTAGCACTGTTGCCTCACAGCAAGAAGGTCGCCGGTTCGCATCCCGGTGAGGACACCCGGGATCTTTCTGCGTGGAGTCTCCATGTTCTCCCCGTGCAGCGTGGGTTCTCTCCGGGTTCTCCGGCTTCCTCCCACAGTCCAGAAACATGCTGAGGTTAATTGGTGATTGTAAATTGTCCGTAGGTGTGAATGTGAGTGTGCTTGGTTGTCTGTCTCTAAGTGTAGCCCTGTGATAGACTGGTTACCTGTCCAGGTGAACCTGCCTTCACCCTGAGTCAGCTGGGATAGACTCCAGCCCCCCATGACCCTGGTGAGGATGAAGGTGTAGAGATGATGGATGGATTGATGGATGGTACGACAGTGATCTTGGCCCAGTTGCTCTGATGTTAAACTGACATGAGAATATTTTACACTTAACCTTCTTAATCCCCGTTTGAATTCTGTAACTTAAGAAATCCTTGTCAGGTGTGTATGATGCTTCAAGCCTCCCTGAACACATTCTGGTCGGCTTAGATGAAAAACATGACAAAGCTGCCAAAGCCAGACAGTTCAACAGCATTGGATCTGTGCTGGGGTCTGTCCTCGACAGCTAAAACGTAAAAACATCCGTGTTCTGCCACCACTGCAGCTGAAATATGGATTTGTTTGATTTTAAACCTATTTCAGTTGATTAAGTTAGTAAAGCTTTAAACAACATTGACCACAAAAAGTGTGCAGACCTGGACAATCTGGATCTTTATCTCTAAAAAGCGGCGGCAGAAATTATCACTGAGCCATTTCACATATTTTAATGTGAGTGCGATGACCAGCTCCAAACCAACGATTTGGAAAAATGTTCTCGCCTTGTTTCAAAAAGATCCTTGAATCGCTGGTAAATTGGCACTTAAAACAGTTAATAACAGTTTACTTCATATGAGTGTTTTAAGCAGTTTTTAGTCTGTTATGTACATATTAGTGATCTAATTAGAAAGCTGGAAGTAAAGAATGGGTTTTATTTTGCTTTACGTTCAGCACCAAGAACAAACATCTTTGATCAAAGTACTTCTGACATCAAGTGAAACTTTCATTTTCCTTTTACTTAATATTCACAAATCACTCAGTTGCTCTCAGTGTTATCTGTAATTGTTCAAATGTTGAACAAAATGCTGTGTTGTGTGCTTGTTGTTGCACCGTCACACGAACATGTGACATTAAAAACTTTTTAAAAAATCCCTGTGAAAACCCAGCGTGTGTGTGATCAGCTGCCGTGTGAACTGTCTGGACCTCATGATGTAGACGAGCAGGTGGATGTGATGGTGTTCGGCGGCGGCTGAGGGGAAAGTGAGGCGCTGGGTATCGTGCCACTGATGCAGCAACGTTTCATGTCAGAAACGCTATTTCAGCTGCACAGGGAACACATAAAGCTGTCATGTAGGTTCAGGGGAAGAACTGCCTACATTTTACTGCTGGAAAGCATAAAAGCATCAATCAAACTGAAGCATTTCTACCAACCAGAGCTTCTCGTCTCGGATGTTGTCAGCTATAGCTTTCCTTATTTCAGATTTCATTTGTCGTCGCAGCTATAAAAAAGATTTAAAGGTTCAAATTCAAGGGCTGGAATCCAAGCAGTTCATTCTCCTCAGTCATAACTAAAGAGACACTACAGAGATTAGGTTTTATAAACTGTAATGTAAGCGATGTGACTGCACTGTAAAGAAACAACTGTTGTGTTAACAAAATGGATCATTTTTATGAGTTGAAAATGCCACAATGAACCCTGTAGGCCATTGGTGACATAGAGCCAACCGTTTGGGACTCGTTAAATTTATATTTAAAACTGAATGTTAAAACCCTTCATTCCTCTCTAAGTCTCTACTTAGTAGTTTTTAGTTTTAGCACAGCATTGGTCTGGATGTGTGCTTTTCATGGCTGTAGCTGCATCACTGGATGAGTTTTCAAACCCCATCTACACGTATCCAAGCTGTTGCTAGGTTACCACTCAGAGACTGGCCTCATCCTCTCATTGGTCACAAGAGCTTTGACTCCTGAATGGACACAACATGAGACCACCACAGTCCTCCACCACAGTATTCACAGGATTCAAAGGGGGAAAGTCCTCCATCCCATAGATACATGTAGATGCTGCACTGGCAGCTGCTGTTCTCTGGAGTCAGGAAAAAAGATGTCAGTACTTCCCTTATTGTTGGCAAATCATCAGGTAACCTGGTACATCATGAACTTATTCAGTGAATCACAGACACTAGAAGATATCGCTGATGTTATCAAAAGCCTTAAAATTTTGTTTATTAGAGTAAAAAACAATCGACTCTGTACCCAGGCTTGAGTGTGTGGTGCAGTGAAGATGCCCTGACCTTCCTGTATTCAACCTTCCCAGAGAGCAGTGAACTAATGACTCTCCCACCTGACCGGTGAGCCACTCCACAGTCACACCTGACTCCTCAGTGCTCCCGCTACAACCATCCCTACTTTAAAACAGTCAATCTAAGAATAACTAGACCGATACAGAACTAAAGGAGGCATAAAAACAAACAATATATAACCCGGGACAGGTGGCCGGTCCATCACAGGACCAACATAAAGAGACAAACTATGCATATTTACGCCTACAGGACAATGTGGAATCACCCGTTAAACTACCGTGCATGTGTTTGGACGATGGGGGGAGTCAGAGCATCTGA